TTTTTGCATTGTTCTCTGATTGTATGTGACAGAATTTCCTGTGTTACAGATGTATAGTGTTTGGATGAGTTCTGAAGAAATATGTTGAAGTGATTTTGACTTACATACATCAGTGAGAAACATGGCCGGTCAAGGTACAATAAATTACAAATTATTTTTGATTCACTATGCTACTTTTGTCACAAAAATGCTATGCAAGACACTGTACTCATTCATCTCAAAACACTTGAGCCTTGAAAAGGTTTTAGTTCTTCTGATATAATGACAAAAATGGCTTGATTTACGACATCTCATCTGAAATGGATCACATTTGGTATTCTTGCTCTCCAAAATTGCTCGCTGTCAGTTTAGATATTTGCGTTGAATAAGACAGAATTCACATCAAATTTCTCTTTCATTTTCTTTTCCAAGACCAATAATTTCCAGATTAAGTGCTAATAAATGTTTGGTTTTATCTGTTTATATCATGTATGTTTAATCTCTCATTTTCTCAGATACAGGACAAATATTAAAGTACTGCTTAGGAATCATCATATGTGTCCTGCTGACCCATGAATGTGTTGTGGAAACACTTGATTTCCCAGAAGCAAGTATAGATTTAGAGGTAGGCGAAGGATTATTTATACTGCAGGAACATAAAAACAAACATTATATGAAAAAAAAAAACAGAATCCTGTCTTTTTTAGATTAACTTCCAATAACAGTGTTGGGGAAAGTTACTTTTAAAAGTAATGCATTACAATATTGCGTTACTCCCTAAAAAAAGTAACTAATTACGTTACTTAGTTACTTTTAACACTGTCCAATAATATATTATTTTAAGTATTTTGTATTCATTAAAAGCACATTCAAAATATTTAACATTGTTTATAGCAATAAAACACAAATTTATAGTATAGATCCATGATTCCAACTCGCATGATAAATGTTTATACGTAAATAAATGTGTTTTTGTGTTATTTTATTTCAGTTTAGCTACATAGATGGGCAACTGCATCATAGAAAACCAAGAAGTGCAGGTCTAATTCATGGCTTTAACCTCTACTCATACACACTGTCCTTATAATGGTTTAATGTTTTGGATATAAAAATAACGATACATTAAAATAATATGTTTGTTGGTGAGATTTTGTCTGTCAAAAGTTTTGTCTTGACATTTATTTGAAGAATACAATCCTCCTTAAAATCTCACCCTTTTCCCCAAAGGTACAGAGCTATTGGAGTTCATTGTGGTTATTGAGGTGAATGCATCGCAAGCTGTGGTGATTGAACAGATCAGAGCGTCATTGGCCTCCATTACGTTTCCTCTTCAACTGGACAACAGCACTGAAGTTACTGCTGCAAACATTACAACAGGTGAGCCTGTTAAACTGGTGTTCAAAAGCCATTTACGTCATTCTTACTACTTAATTTTCTTTAATGTTGTGTCAACATTGTGTTATATTTACATTAGTGTGCCAACCAAATGTGACTGAATACCAGTGCGTATGTGATGATGGTTATGCATGGTCATACAACAACTGTCAGACATATGAGGCCTGTGGCGACATCAGTTTTGGCTCATGTGGATGTATCAGTGCTATTCCCAGTGATGGAGAGATGTGTGTGCTGGAGAGCGGTAAGAATGATGACCAAACAAGCCCAACAGCAAATGCACTCAAAAAACCTGTAAAAAATGTTTGTAATGATTAAAAAGTAACATTAAAAAAGTTGCAGTATAAATAAATAAGTAATCTTAATTTGTTAACTGTAAGTTACCTTATACATATACAGTTAAAAGTATATATTTGCAGTTATAAATCGGTTAGTTCCAGTTCTTGCTTCTGATTGGTCAAGAGCATGACTATGACTACTTCAGCCAACAGTTCTGTGTATCACCAAAGTCCCAAGGCAAAAGGCAAGTCATTTTACTAGGCGGCCATCTTTGAAACGCCTCTCGGGCATGCAATTCTTTGAATGGGTTAACATAAAATTTTCCAAAACTGTTCGCCAAGCTTACGATTAAATTTCATATTTGAAACCACCAATGAAATCTGACAACAACTGTCTCATAAATGTTTCTTTTGCTCAAATTGCATAAAAAGCTTATTTTTCAGGCTTAGCAACTCTTAGAAACCATCCTTAGCAACATAAACAATCAATATAGAGTCAAAACTGTTCCTTTTATTACCTATTTCAGCACAATTCACCGTTTATTGTTTATGAGCGACCCCTGCTTGCGTTATGCTGCATCATTCACCTTTAATTTTGAGGCTACGCCCTTCCCACTGTCAAAGAAACTCTTCTCAAATGTGAGATAAGTTGATGTGTGCACGCGTGTCTGTGTGGAAGCCCGCAGTTTCCGAAGTGCAGAGGGAATATTAGTTTTCTGTTTCAGGTATGCTACTGTATGTCCATTAGTTTACACTGTAATGACGCTTGCAGTCTTGCGCTGCGCCACGGATACGTCTGTTTTAAACTATTAGGCGTCATGCCTAAACAACGCCCTTCAGCAGTAACTTATTCACAATACAGCACGGCCTCTCGTACATTATTGCTTACATAATTTATTTAACAAGACTATATGTGTGTATGTATGTATATATATATATATATATATATAATTGTACATTAAATATATTTTAAAAGTAAAAAATATGAATGACCTTATAATTTATTGTGAAAAAACCCAAAAGCCCCTCTGTGAAGCATCGCAAAACAATGTATTTTATTTAAATAGTTATGATCTGTTATGCTGATAAGGGTGTATTATGGTGGTTATCAGTACATTTATTTAGTATGTTTGCATATTAACATTATATCAGTATTTATATCAACAAATATGTATACTGTAAATATATGGGCACCAAAAGGCCTCTCATAATGTCTAGAAATTTTGGCAGTTAAATTCTAGCAACCACAATCACCAGTTTTGTACAGTAAATTATTATTATTTTTTAACATATGTAGGGATGACATACTAATGAACAGTGTTTACTCAATACGTAGGCTGCTTACTTTTTATGTATTTATGTATTACTATATTGTTAGTGTTATTAATTACATAAACATATTTATTGTGATGAAAAATACAGTATTGGAAATGCACACTTTACTATTAAATGCAATGGAAATACCAAGCTGGTGATGTGCTTGTTGATTCTCTCACAGAACTGCCCTTCACAGACTTCTTGTTTGAAATTGAGTTGGAATCAACAAGCATCTCTGTGATCAATGAGATGAGGCGATATCTGCAGAACATCACCTTTCCACTTCAATTAGATGGGGTGGTTGAAATGTTAGATGTGGACATCACAACAGGTGAAGAATGTCACATGACCTCCTGAACACAAATGCAGCAGCGCTAATTTGTTAAATATGAGCTTACATTTGCGTTGTATCCTTTCTTAGTGTGCAAATTCAATGACAGTGGATACAAGTGTGTATGTGAGGATCAGTATTTCTGGCCGTGTGATAAATGCAAGGAATATGGGAGCTGTGATGACATCACTAACAACACATGCAGCTGCATCAATGATATTCCAAGTGACAGACAGTTCTGTCAAACAGTCGGCGAGATACCAAGTAAAACATGTTATATATATTTGCTGTTTGCAATTATACAGAAGATCTGTCAGTCAGTTACTGTAACATGAACTGTTTACAAGTTCTTTTTTCTAATAAATTATTATCCTTTTCCTGGAAGATAACATAGCATGTGGGCAACCACCATCAGGTACGTAAAAACATATGACTTCAATCCCAGTGTCAAGATCACTGCAACATTTCCTGCATATTAAAAAGGAGTGAATGTTCCTAACTCTTTTTATAATTCCCACAGTGACTCCAGTTTCATCTGAATATCTAACTGAAATTCAGATAGATGCAGAGAATACGGCCATCATTGATCAGCTGAGGAACCTTCTGATGTCTTTTAGTTTGCCCTACACAATCAGTGACAGCACGAACATTACAGAAATCAACATAACTACTGGTATGATCTCTGACTCTGCTTCTGTAATGTTGTACTTTATACATCAAAAATACTACCATAAACGAACGATGAATTTGTGGATTCTGCTTGTCAGTGTGTTCACTGAACCAAACACAGTATCAGTGTAAATGTGAGGATCTGTTTGTTTGGCCGAATGACACGTGTCACTCATACGAGGCCTGTGATGACATCACTGATGGTTCATGTACATGCATCAATGGCCTTCCAGTCAACAGACAGTTCTGCCAGTTAAAAGAAGGTGAGCAATTACATTCATAAATCTGAAAAAAAAAACATTCTCTCTTAAATTCTTTATATTTCATATTTGATTTGTAGCACCCCAGTGTCTCGTGCAACTAAAATCATGCACATTCATTAAGTTTCTAGCTGTCTTTTCTTCTTGAATGAGACATTACATGAGAAATTGCATCTTTGCAGAGAAGGCAGATCAATAATCAGTGTAACTAATTTTTAAAAAATATTTTTAACTTATTTAAATGAATTGTTTGGATAATTTTAAAGTAAAAAAAACAAACATGAAAATTAATTTCAGACCATTTAGATTGTAGAAGTTTGCATAAAACCTATAATTAGTTATCTTTTTATTATTAATAAAATATTCATAATCGATTTCATGTTTTTACTGTTGTAGTCTAATGATCATTCAGTTATTGTGTCAAAAAAATATATTATTAAAAATGGTTCAGCATATCAGTCATTTTGGACACTTGAATATAAAAATAATCTGAATTAGTATCAGTTGATCTCTATTGCAGAGTAAGAGCTTTCATAAAAATACAGCAACATATCAACATTCCAGAAAAAGACAAGAAGGCAGTGGCATGAAGAAAAACCTGTTTTTGACTGTGAGGGTACAGCTTCACTTTTGTTCTGCTTGAACTGCTTCTGTTTGTTCTTTCAGTACTACATTCTGACTATGTAATTGACATTGATGTGAGATTCTTTGACTTGTTCCTGGTGGACTACTTACGGAATCTCTTCACAAACATCAGCCTTCCTCTCACTCTGAGCAACAGCATAAATATCACAGATATTGACATGAATACTGGTGAGCTCAGAAAGTGTCTGTGTTTAAATATTAGTAAAAATTTTAATAAGGTTATTTTCATATTGCTTATCATGTAAGCTCTAAGACTCCATAAAATCATCAAATTTGGGGTCTTACTCCCATAATATATTTTTTACACACGGATGTAATGTTTCAGAAATACTTTCTTAATTCTCCACATAACATGAGTCATTTAAGTGACTTCTATTGATTCTTTGAATATACTGTAGCCTAAAAGTCTGCTTTATGTTTTGTTACAGTGTGTGGGTTAAATGGAACAGAATATGAGTGCAAGTGTGAGGAGAATCATGTTTGGCCCAATGACACCTGCAGGGCCTATCAGGTGTGTGATGGCATTGTGGGAGGCACTTGTGGATGTATTCAAGCTCTCCCTTCAGAGGGTCCGCTTTGCCAGAGAGGTAAGAAATCACATTAGATCACAAATGTACTTATTGTAATTGTACTAACATGACCAGTGTGAGTTTAATTAGCGACACTCAACACGTTGTTTGGAAACCTTTAATTGTAACATTTATGTATTACCTTCTCACTCTTTTTTCCAGACATCAATGAATGTGAAGATGCAGTGTCAGTGTGTGGCCAATACTCAGATTGTATTAACATCATTGGGAGTCACATGTGTTCATGCTGGAGTGGATTTAATACCTCCAATAAAGACAGTCCTGTAAGCCACATCAACTCATGTCAGGGTAAGTATTAATAACTATTTATTTTTCTATTTTTACCTTATGGACCTGAGTGTACAGAGTTGCTGTGTCTTTACAGTTTGTTTGAATACTACTGTGAGCTTTAGCTGTTCCTGCTTAAGGTGTAACATCACCCAACAAATGATTCATTTTTGTCTTTTCATCTATCTGCAGTAATAATTGTGGTTGAATGTCGTTAGATACAAGAGGTCTTTCATGTCTTTGCCTAATTTAAAACTGTAATCTCTAATATTTATTATTATTTTTCTTTTTTCATAGATATAAATGAATGTCTGTTCAGTCCATCTGTATGTGGTCCAAATGCCAACTGCACAAATGAAATTGGAAGTTACAATTGCTCATGTCTGGATGGATTCACTGCAACAATTTCAAGTCTCCCCATCAGCATCAATAACACATGTAGAGGTAAATCCTGGAATCAAATCAATAGCCTAATTTTGGAAAATAACCAAAGATATTGTATTAAGGCATTTAATTTTTTTTTGTCATCAAATCATATTTAACATATTATATTGTTTAATTAACAATTAAACAACAATTAGTGTTTTCATCTCCTGCATACAGAATTGTCGTCATTCCCTATTTTTTATATTTTATTAATATTTTAAATAATTGTGACAGAAATATTAAATTACTAAACTCATCTGTTATATGAATTGCTGTATGCTTCAGATACTGACTCTTTCATCTGTGACAGAAGCTGGTTAAATTGATGCTGGAGTGGTTAAAATAACTGTTCCGTTAAGTCTTATGGGCTGAAACATCACAATCCATTCATAATTTCCCTCTTGTGAACCTGGATTTTGTTATTTTTGCTGGTAAAGGGCATAGTCATAACTTCTGGATGTTTTTCCCCACTTTATTTCTACAGTGACTCTACCTTTGACTGAGTATCTGATTGAAATTCAGATCAATAGCATGGACAGTAGCATCACTGATCAGCTGAGGAACCTTCTGATGTCTTTTAGTTTGCCCTACACAATCAGTGACAGCACTAACATTACAGAAATCAACATAACTACTGGTATGATCTCTGGCTCTGCTTCTGTAATATTGTATAACTAAGATTAAACTTTATACATCATGAATGCTGCCATACATGATGAATATTGGATTTTTTGACTCTTCCTCTGTTTTTCAGTGTGTTCTTTGAATGAAACACAGTATCAGTGTAAATGTGAGGGTCTGTTTGTTTGGCCGAATGACACGTGTCACTCATACGAGGCCTGTGATGACATCACTGATGCTTCATGTACATGTATCAATGCTCTTCCAGTCGATGGACAGTTCTGCCAAAGTGAGACACTGACATTATTCTACGACAACATTAATTTTCTTCATTTAATTATTTTGATCTGTTGATTTCCTGCATTTTATTACTAGGTTAGACAGACTGATTATTTGCAGTATTTTTGTTTGCAAATAACACACATGGTCAATTACAGTATATGGAGTTTTGTCGTTAAAATATTTACTGCACTGTATAATGTCCTTATAATATAAAGTTCAGGCTTTGTAGAAGACATTTCTACAAAATACTGAAGTTTTTGTCATTATAAGAATGTAATCATACTGATTGCTCTGCTCAACCTGCTTCTGTTTGTTCTTGCAGTTCTACCTTCTAAGTACGTGATTGACATTGATGTGAGATTCTTTGACTTGTTCCTGGTGGACTACTTACGGAATCTCATCAAAAATATCAGCCTGCCTTTGACTCTGAGCAACAGCATTAATATCACAGATATTGACATGAATACTGGTGAGATCAGAATGTTTTATCATGTCACATGCTAAGATGAGTTCAGTATTAGGAGAAACTGACAGTTTGAACACTGATAAATGAATCCCATTCTATTACAGTGTGTGGGTTAAATGGAACAGAATATGAGTGCAAGTGTGAGGAGAATCATGTTTGGCCCAATGACACCTGCAGGGCCTATCAGGTGTGTGATGGCATTGTGGGAGGCACTTGTGGATGTATTCAAGCTCTCCCTTCAGATGGTCCGCTTTGCCAGAGAGGTAAGAAATCACATTAGATCACAAATGTACTGATAATAATTGTAGTAACATGACCAATATGAATTTATTTGGTGACACTTGACATGTTGTTTGGAAACCTTTAAGGGTAACATTTATGCAAAACCTTCTCACTCTTTTTTCCAGACATCAATGAATGTGAAGATGCAGTGTCAGTGTGTGGCCAATACTCAGATTGTATTAACATCATTGGGAGTCACATGTGTTCATGCTGGAGTGGATTTAATACCTCCAATAAAGACAGTCCTGTGAGCCGTGACAACTCATGTCATGGTAAGTATTAATAACTTTTTTTTCTATTTTTATCTTATGAACCTGAATGTACAGAGTTGCTGTGTCTTTACAGTTTGTTTGAATACTACTGTGAGCTTTAGCTGTTCCTGCTTGAGGTGTAACATCACCCAACAAATTATTTATTTTTGTCTTTTCGGCTTTCTGGAATAAAGATTGTGGTTCAATGTCTTTAGATACCAGAGGTCTTTGATATGTTTTGGTGTCTGCCTAATTTAAAACAGTAAAATCTAATATTTGTCATTTCTTTTTTTTTGTAGATATAAATGAATGTCTGTTCAGTCCATCTGTATGTGGTTCAGATTCTAACTGCACAAATCAGTTGGGAAGTTACAATTGCTCATGTCTGGATGGATTCACTGCAACAATTTCAAGTCTCCCCATCAGCATCAATAACACATGTAGAGGTAAATCCTACAATCTGATTATATTGTACATTTTCTTAAATAACTTATTTTTAATATACTGTATATTTTGCTTTTGCATTTTTTGCCATCACATCATATTTAACACAGTTTATTGCTAAATCAACTGTTAAACAGCAACACAAAATGTTCAACCTGCTGCCTACATATATTTTTTCATCCTCTGTTTAAAATGTTAACAGCAAAAGTGTAAAAAAAACTAGATTAAAATTATGGTGACTTTCATACTTGAGTGTTTAAAATAGCAACAATATGTATTTTTTTTATATCTTCTTGTAATAAAGATGTGAATGAATGTCTTGAGACACCAGAGGTCTGTGGTCCAAACTCTCGTTGCACCAACTCAATTGGGGGTTACAACTGTTCCTGCTTGAGTGGATTTACTGTAACAAATATCCGTGAACCAGTCAGCGCCAGTAACCCATGCAATGGTGAGCATGTAGAAAATATATTTCATCATGATATATTTGATTAATATTTTAAATAATTGTGACAGAAATATTAAATTACTAAACTCATCTGTTATATGAATTGCTGTATGCTTCAGATACTGACTCTTTCATCTATGACAGAAGCTGGTTAAATTGATGCTGCAGTGGTTAAAATAACTGTTCCGTTAAGTCTTATGGGCTGAAACATCACAATCCATTCATAATTTCCCTCTTGTGAACCTGGATTTTGTTATTTTTGTAGGTAAAAGGCATATTCATCATTTCTGGATGTTTTTTCCCCCCACTTTATTTCTACAGTGACTCTACCTTTGACTGAATATCTGATTGAAATTCAGATCAATAGCATGGACAGTAGCATCACTGATCAGCTGAGGAACCTTCTGATGTCTTTTAGTTTGCCCTACACAATCAGTGACAGCACTAACATTACAGAAATCAACATAACTACTGGTATGATCTCTGGCTCTGCTTCTGTAATATTGTATAACTAGGATTACACTTTATACATCATGAATGCTGCCATACATTATGAATTTTGGATTTTTTTGACTCTTCCTCTGTTTTTCAGTGTGTTCTTTGAATGAAACACAGTATCAGTGTAAATGTGAGGGTCTGTTTGTTTGGCCGAATGACACGTGTCACTCATACGAGGCCTGTGATGACATCACTGATGGTTCATGTACATGTATCAATGCTCTTCCAGTCGATGGACAGTTCTGCCAAAGTGAGACACTGACATTATTCTATGACAACATCAATTTTCTCAAATTTGATCAATTATTTTGTTCTGTTTTCCTGTTTTGATTTTACTGCATTTTACTGCTAGGTTTGACAGACTGATTGTTTGCTTGTTTTTTTGGTTGCAAATAACTCTATATAAAATACATGGTCTATTACAGTGGTTCTCAAACTGGGGTAGGCTACGTGTACCCCTGTGGGTAGGTTATGTGAGGTGACCATAGGTGAGGTTGTACGCGAACAAAATTCTGAGCTTTGGCATTCATTTAATTCTACCCCAACTTAAAGTAACATTAAAACCGAACATGTAGGCCTATTTCTGACAAGCAAAATGCCGCTTCTAATGTAAAAACAGGAAAATGGGAGTGCCGTAAACGGTCAAATACATGATATCCAATCAGCTTACCTCATCTTTTGCGGTCAAAACTGACTGCTTCCACACACGCAGCGTGCATGTGATAGGATGCAAGCTGAATATGTTGCTTTAGCAAATCGCGTTGCTGTTCAATGTATCTTTAAATCAGATCTTCACTTAATAGCATGAAGAGCAAATATTGACACGGACTGAGATCGATTTAAACTCTCTTCAATACAGGCACACTCTGTGCGTGTTATTGTTTTCATGTTTAAGATACGAGCAAGAATGCAACTTTCCCTGAATATCCAAACGATGGCAAATGTGCCATTAATTTTTACAACAGTTCAACAAAAAAGGTAATATTAAGTGAACATGTTATATTTTAAATGTAGCCTACATTTTAAACCGAATATTTTGTTTGGTTGTTCTATTTTGCAACGAAATAATAGTTCCAACGAAATCCGTATCATCTGGTGTGCGTCTCCAAGCAACATACAGCAGTGTTTCGTTAGCGAACAAATGTGCGGCTTTGAACGATTTGGAGAGTCAGTTACCCATTCATAACTACAGCATTTTGCTTCGTTACTGAATGAATGAATGAATGACGCGACGCCTGGCTCATTAAGACAGCGACTTGCCGCCACCTATCCGTGGTTTTATTTTGAAATCTACACGTATCACTTCGAATTGACATCATTTATTGCTTTTGGTGGTGTCAAAATTAGCGCGTTAACGCAGGCGATTATTTTTTTTCAGTTTAACGCGTTAAAAAATATGTAACGCAATTAACGCAGGGGCGGGGCTAGGGTTGGTCACCCCACTCACAACTGCTGCTTCTGTCACTTTTTCTCTTGACAAGAAGTGCATTTATTCATTTGCAGAACGACTGAGAACGGGAGACGCGCGCTCCACTTCACTTCAGCGCCAGGCGCCAGTCAGTGTTTCCCAACTGGGGTGCCGTCTGTCGAGAGCAGGGGTGCCGTGTAAAAAAATCCTTTTTTAATATTTTTAAATTGCTAAAATGTTTTAAAAAGCATCTATTATATAATATCCATTTCTGATGTCACCAATAATCAGAGATGCACCGAAATTTCGGCTGCCGAAAATTAGTTCACCGCTCAGGTTTCACTTTCACGTGGTGTGACGCTCTGCGTATTATCCCCCTCTATGCGTGCGCTCCGCTCAGTCACTCCATTCGTATACCGTTCATGCTCATCGGAACCAGTGTTGCCAATTTAGCTACTTTGTAGCTAGATTTAGCGACTTCCCCGCCCCTTTTGAGACTTTTTTCAAAAGTTTAGGGACAAATATAGCAACTCCTTGGACAAACCTTATCTAAGTTCTCATCTTGCCCACTGATCTACATTAATCTTTATATAGATCAGTAAATTTGCCATTGTGATGTCATCTAGTGACATTAGCAACCAGTTTTAGCTACTTTCAATTGAAAGCAGTTGGCAACACTGATCACTACACACTTGGTTCCAAATCAGTCACTTAAGAGGTTCCATCTTAGTTAGGATTCTGCCTTAGAAGACAGCTGCCTGTGTAGGCAGTAGTCAGCTAGGCAGCTCAGTAGTTTTTGGAATAGAGCCACTGTGACATACCTCTGTGGCCCCATCAAAGCGTTCTTTCAGCACAACACCGACCCGGCGGAACGGAGGCATGACCTTCCAGCAAGTTCTGAGCTCACAGGACCCCGAAACACCATGACACTTACACTCAACCTGCATGTTGAGTCACATTTAAGAACATGTCTCTGAAATGGTTTTCAAAACTCCTTCTCCTGGAGCAGCCCACTCACTCTCACTCATCTAACACACCCGATTTAACGCGTCAGCTCATTAATAGAGACTTTAAAGAAGACATATTATGCCCCTTTTCACAATATGTAATATAAGTCTCTGGTGTCCCCAAAATGTGTCTATGACGTTTCAGCTCAAAATACTCCACAGATCATTTATTATATCATTTTGAAAATGCCTATTTTGAGTGGAAAAAGAAACACTGTTTTTCGGGCCTGTCTCTTTAAATGCAAATGAGCTGCTGCTCTCTGCCCCCTTTTCCAGAATAGAGCTGTGCCATTACAGCTCGTACCTGCTAAATAACATCTGTTTCGCTCCCCGCCCCCTTTTCCAGAATAGAGCTGGGCCATTACAGGTCGGACCTGCTAAAAGCATCTGTTATGGTTCTGATTATCATGTTTATAGCGCTGAAATCATGCGGTTTAAACCATATGAGTTTAAACTTCTGATATACGTTTTCTGAGAGCACACATCCGAAGCACACGTATAGAAAGCGGCTGTCACAGCCGTACTGTGAGTACTGAACTAAGTTATCTTTCACACACAAGTTTACGTTAAAAAACACACAAGATACTAAAACAGTCGGTTATGTCCGTGAAGGTAAACAGCTGGGAAATAAATCGCTTGTTTATTTTAGATCTGTGTGGCAGCAGCAATATACAGTAAAT